TGCATTTAATAATATTTTCAAGGAAAACATTGTTCCTATCATATGTGCTTGTCAGCTCCTGCACACTGCATCCACTACAAACACAAGGAGGTATATTCAGCTTGAACTATTATTAACCCAGCTCGCTTCTACGAGAGATCCTAGTTGTTGAGAAATTCTTCTGTGGTGAATGGCATCTCCTCACCACTGAGCAAGTCAGTCTAAACCCCAAAGAGTATTCATCCCAAGACAAGTCCTTAAAAAATGGAGAGTGACGAATAAAGAGTAGGACATTTTATGTGTCACTGGGAGACGTTTGTAGGCTGATACCGAAACCACACCCAGCCAATCCACTACCAGCACATTCAGAAGCATACCTATGGTGGTAGGAAACAAAGCCCAGAAGATACCAAAAACAGCTTTAAAAATTTCTCCTGTTTTTTCCTTCTGTCAGCTTTTGGTGCAGAAAGGATTCCAACCTGATGGGCGAGAAGCACCTCTTCCTGCTCTTTTCATGCACGACCTTAGAGTCACCTTCCAAATTCAGTCCTACCTCCATTTGGTCCCCATTTTAGAAACCGTATATTTTAGGCCACCTATAGACATCTTACAAGACAGTGACCTAATTTGCCACTCTCCTGTCACAGAGCTGGCTCCATGCCACACAGCCACTCACCAGCTTCAGGGCACAACCAGCTTGCTTGCAGCTTGCACTCCTTGGTACATCTGGGCAGAGACCAGTACGCAGAGCATGCAGCACTTTGAGGCCCCCAGATAAGGTCCTAGGCTTCATCCCCCAACTCTTAGCACACACACAAGCCCTTTCAGGGGAAGAATAGGCTTTCCATGCTTGCCAACCCTTAGCTGAAATGACAATGCCGCAGCAGCATGCGGGCCAGAGATAGCAGCAGGGAGCTGGTACCATAACAATATCAACACCTAGCAATTTGGGTACCATTTGGTACAGGTACGTCTGGAATCACAGCACTGCTCTGGCAGCAGCGTAGCGCCCGTTGCTTCCAGGCACAATTTGTAGCAGTAATGCAATTCACATTTCTGATAAACTTACTGCACACGGAGCTGCCAGCGCCCTCAGCAGGTACAGCCAGGAGACCCTCATTCCCAGTCCATCACAAAACATTTTTGAAAGACTGCCTCCCAAGCTAATGTTTTCCCAGAGCCATAGAGTGTTTTGAATTGTTTCAGAAAAATCACTTCAGCTGCTTGTGAGTTATAGATGAAAAACACTTTTTTTTTTTTGGGGGGGGGGGGAGGGGGGGGGGGAGAGGGGAGGGAAACAAAACAAGAAACCTTCTAGCCAGAAAGCACGGCTGGTGCTTGAAACTTGGCACAAGGACTCTCAACGAGGAGTCTGTGCTTTCCTAAACTGGAAGACATTTGGCTTTGATTTAACAAAGTTATGAGTGTATGGAAACCACATACTTAGCATGCACTGGAGCAGAAGCCTTCGTGCAGACTTAACTCTGCATTAGCATATTCTTTTCCATTTAATTAAGTGTTGCAAATTGTTTTTCTGTTAATTATTTCAGTTATGGACATTATTATTTTCCATTTTGGAAAGCAGAGTCTATTTCAAGGGGGTTAATAATCCTGTTAACTCTCCTTTCCTAAACTGTCCATTGCTGCTGATAAGATTCCACCTGCTTTTGTTAAGACTGTAGGCTTCTAGCTCATTTATAATTGGATACATCCTGTACCAAATATCTCCAGAAGAGCTGATATGATATCCCAGATGGTAGCATTCTCTTTCCTCTGTGTGCATAATCTCGCAAAAAAGCCCACCGATAGCTAGTGTTTAAAGGAAAATTGTGTATGCAGATGGTAGGTGAGCTGATCTGCTTTTGTATTAGGGATGGGTGAATCCATTCAGATGAGAAAGAAGCAAGGAAGAATGTATGGGAGCCAGGGTTGGGCGCCTGGGAGTCTGGGGCTTTATTCCCAGCACTTCCACTGATCTGTTACAGAATTGTTCAACAGCTCCACCTCAGCCTTCCTCATCTGAAAAGGGTTTACTACTGACCGTACCAACCTGGCAGGTGTCTAGAGGGGATTAGATAGTATTTGGAAAATCTCTGAGATTCTCAGAAGGAGGGTACATCACAAACGTGAAGTGGTCACGCTGCTGCTATGTTAACTGTTGACAGCCTGCTCTGCTCCTGCTTGAAACAGCTGCCCCTGTATCTGCACCGACTCTAGGCTACTTATCTTTGCAAAGAACTAGGATGAATAACAGTCCCAACCAAAAAGCTATCCAGAGGGGAATCTGCATGAATTTTCCAAGAAGTATATTGCCTGCCTCGTTGCCATGAATACACACAAGCAAACTTACTTATGCAATAAAGGACTGCTTGGCAAAGCCTCATGAACTGAAGGCATTATCAGGATAAAACAAGCATCAAGGTCTTTGACTGTAACTTTTTCAAATATTTTACATCTGCAAAACTGCACTGGGAATCTCAGAAATAGCATCTGCCTCTGTCCCACAATACTCTTCTGTACCTTCCTGCAAAAATTTATTTTTGACCTTTTAGCTGGTTTCAATTCTGCAACCAGAGACCATTCTAAACTTCTTCAGGAAAACAAAAACCAATGAGGACAATATTTCTCAGCAAGAGGCTCAGCAATTGGTCATGAAACTTTCCCCTACCTTCCCTCCTACTGTAAAGCCATACACATAAAGAAAAGAAACAATGGACAGAACAGTAAATTTCTCAAAAGGCCTCGATTGTCATCGCACTGAGAAAGACACTGGCCTACGAGACCTAATCTAGTTTGACTTTAAAGCATCGCCTCATGAGCCAGCTCCCTGGGAGGCGCTATTATTTCCACTCTGAACAGGAGAGCCCAAGCGTTTGAGGAGCGTCTCCCAAAACACATCTGGTCCCATGAACTTGGAAAAAGAGGAGACAGCACCTGGACACAGTCTGTGGTGCAGCATTGCCATCTACTCTGAGCCCCTTAGAATGGTACTGCCCCTCTTCAGCTTCCTTTGCTCTCTTCAGTCAACAGTGTTTATCTTTGTGTTAAACTCACGCACACCCCAAAGTAAATTATAAGGCCAGGGCACTAGGCAGGGTCAAAGGCTAGTGCATGAATTTACGAGACTGCCTCCTCTCTCCCAGGAGCCTTTCCTGAGTCCTAATAAAGATCTCTGAAACAAGATGCTAATGCTGGATTATCCAGGTAATCTCCTTGAGTTACTTCCCTGGTTTGCCTGGTTATAAATAATGAATTAGGCCTTTACTTATTATTTCTTCTGCCCTTTGGGTTCACTGCGAGTCTTGGGAAGGAATACAAATTTAAGAATATTAGATCCACTTATTAATATCAATTTCTGCCAATCCTGCATGAGAGATGTTCCCCGCTCAGTGCATGCTATTGATAAAATGAAGCGGCTGGGATGTTAATGGCATGGATCTAATAGCTACGAACTGGCCCAGCCTTACTCACCATTCCCATAAATTGAATTTTAAAAAGGCAGATGGGTGCTTCGTAAGTGGAAACAGAATCATGTGCCAGCTTTCATTTCTTTTCCACTCCTGAGCATGGTGAAATTCAAGTCTCCCCACCGGCTTTGTTCACATAAGCCTATCCTTACAATTTAGTGCCAAACTGAAGAATCCCCATTATTCCCATACTGGATTTCTCAAGCAGTCTGGCCAGTGCATCTTAACCATTTCACTGCTGCATGCAGGCAGCTGAACACAGCAGCAGCAGCCACATAGGCTCGCAGAGCTCTTCCTGCTGAGATAACCAGTAAGCAAACCCAAACCAAACCTGCACGCAGCCCCCCCTTTCTCCCTCTTGCCCTGTTCCATCTGCTCTCTGGCATTAAAGCAATTAATTCCAGTAATAAATACGCATTTGCTTGCAGTACTGACCTGGCTGGGATTCCCAAGTAGAACCATACTCAAGGGACTGGAACTGAGTTCAGCCACCACCTGAATGCTGGTAGACCCCTTATCCCACACAGCACTCCTTCGCCACCAGGCTCCTCAGCCTGCCCACAGGGCTTCTGCCCTCGTTCCTGCCAGCACTGCTTTGCCAACAGCAGTAATAGCCAAGCGTAACAACGTGTAGATAGGTGCCAGCATCATTACCAAGAATCCAGATGAAATTACTGCTTCTTGGCTTCTGTGCACCTACTATGGTCAGAGATGGGCACGTGAGCAGGCCTGGTAGACTTCATGTGGTTCAATCAACTACCTTAAAAAATCCGTGAACAACTCTGAAGTCTGCTTGCACAAGCAGTTGCCACCAGTGCCGCACCCAAAATAAAAATTTTCTAAGCGTAAGCACAGCTCTTTAAAGCCCTTTACATTCTTAAAACGCATCTGTTCAATATTGACCCGTATTTGAAACAAAATAGAGGATGTGCGAATCACTGGCACTGAGGATTGTTGGCACAGCTAAAGGGACCAGGACTGACCCTGATTGATATCACCCATGTAATGGGCAATCATTACTGGAGGTCTTCCCCTGGTCCACATTTCAAGCCCCTCAGCATATGCATTCACATTTAATTACAGAGCCTCTGGATGTCACGCTTGGTTTAGCTGCAGCGGATATTAGTCGCTTCCACTCTTAAAAGTGCTCATGCTATCTCACGAGGAAAGGGCCAATCTGCCACTGTTCTTGAATTAGGACTTGACACTCCCTTTTTCTCCCTTGAAGCACAGACCATTTGTTCTCCTCCTTCTGTCTCAGGTGGCATAATTGAGTCCCTTGGGGAATGCTGATAATTGAATGGGAAGTGAGACCATCTGAGGCAGCAAAACAAGCAGATAGTGATGACTGAGGGACATCGGCAGCTTTAAGCTCTCCTGCCAAATAAACACCCATTCCTTAGAGACTACAGATTTCAGTGACAGTCTAAGGGTCCCAATGTGAGGGTCACAACAGTGGATAGTGTCTCCTCTGTGACTTTGCATTGACCACAGCAAAATTGTCAGGCTGCCATATCTTAAGGTATAATATTTTAGGACTGCCCGTCACCTTACCTGAATGTTTCCTTGGGATGTTGATGTAGAGGGGGTTTTATCCACTTGGCTTTGATATGAGATGGTTGTATGGGAATCATAAAAGTCCTGCATCGAGATTAGGGGGTAGCAGAGTATGACCAGCACGAAGGGGAGAAAGAACTGTGCTATTCACACCTCATACCTAAAAAGAAAGGAGAACCTTCAGATCAGCTTCATAATTCACTGACAGTCAAAGCAAACGTTTTAAAGCTGGTCTGCCAGAGCTGGGGAGTAAAGGCAACACACACACAATTGGTGCTGCTTCTGCTACATTTTGTATGAAATGGGGTAATCTCAGAGGCCTATGAACAACGTATTAGAACAGCATATCCCAGAGCTTAGAAACACATGAGGAAGCAGCTGGCTGCCCATCCACCTGGGAGAAAAGGAGCAGGCTGAGCCTTGCCATGCTTTTGAGGCAACTCAAAAAATAGGCAGAGTGAGAAAGAGAAGGAATTTCCTTATTGTATGCTAGTGATACTGCACAAAGGGCTCACCTGCAAGTCCACACACCACAGCACTCAATGCCATCCTCTGTGGATTGCTTGCTGGCATCCCACCATGCCACCACCAGATCAGGCACCCAGAAGGCCTCGGCCTTGCAATGCCAGCCCTGCCTCATTCCCTCAAGCTCAGAGAAAATCACCTGAAAGATCCCATCCCCCTTCCTGCTGGGATGACCCTGAGACTATCCCCATCTGGAGACAGCTCTCATAGGCAGAGAAAACCCCCAGCTTCAGCACTTTCGCAAGCACGGAGATATTTAACTGCATCTTGACTGGCCAAACTCCTGCTGCAGTCACTACGCGCAGCTGATGCCAGCCCCACGGCTTCAACGGGCTGCAGCTGCCAGCGTGGTCTGCAGAGCAGGGCACTGAGTGCAGTCCCACCGCCAGCTCGCGCCTCCTCTGCCAGCTGAAGCTGGAAAATTAAAGGGGAGGATTTTTTTCCTTTCTCTGCCCTTCAGTTGCACTGTTCGTGTCCTGCCCCCAAAGACGTACAGTGCAAACTTTCAAGCATAGCTCGAGTTTATTAATGGCAGCATATTGCTGATTAAGTGATCCAGAGACCCTCGCAATGCAAAATCTCCGATCATCTTCACAGTGCTATTTCTTGCCCTCCACTCATAAGCAGAGGTGGGATTTTAAACAAGTCAAAAGCAAGTTTAGATGCAGAGGCTAGTACTGAGCCAGGAGAGATCAGAACAATCAAAGAAAAGCTGAAAGTGGTTCTGTGACATCCCATTGTTTTCTGCCCAACAGACCTGGCTTTTAAACACCTCTGCTGTATTGCTTTATGCAGCAACTGCTCCATGAAATTATTCAACAAGGCAAAAAAAGAAAAAAAAAAAAAGATCCATGAAGTTACTCAGATTACAAGTTTGAGCAATTAAAACCTTGATATTTATGGCCCTGTAAGACAGAGGCACATTAATAAATAATACTTTGCTCTGCTACAGCACTTTTCCTTTAATGATCTCCGAGCAATTTACAAGTTTTTGCTAGCTGAGCTTCACCAAACCCCTGCAAGGTAAGGAGGAGATAAATCGAGCACCTTTCCTCCCAAAGCGAAGGCACCTCTAGCAGGGAAACAATGCAACTGCTTGACAGTGCCGAAAACACCAGCTCAAGCTGAGGTTTCACCACTCTGGGCACTGCCTGACACGCACTAATGATGTTCCTTGAGCCAAGGACACGAGACGTGCACAGCATACGAGAACTCAGGGGCAGGGCAGGTAGGGAGCCACATAAATGCCGTGTGTGTTCTCCTCGTTGCAGTGCTCTAATCACCACCCAGCACGCCCTGGCTGTTGGAGGCTGGCACGTTACTGCGTGAAGGATATTGCCTGAAGAACACCTGAACTGTCAGGGACTGGGCTTCCCTCAGGAAGGAGCTACGGCAGCATCTTTGGCATCCAGGGCTCAGCCACAACAGAGGCGCAGGGTAGCAGATGGCAGCAGGGCTGGTCAGCAGCCAGCTGGCTGGGTTACACAGAGCTGCTCGGGAAGCAAATCAAGGCCTTCAGATCATGGGAACGTCGCCCAGGTGAGCGCTGCAGAGCTGAGCAGATTCACAACTAGCCAGCAAAGCCTGTAGCTGAAGGGGGTGCAGGCTTGGTCCCTCCATCACTCCGCCATCCTTCCTCCCTGCTCCTTTATCCTCGCAGAGCATGCAAGATTATCTTACAGCAGCCATTCCTCCTCCTGGGAGCTGACAACACTGACAGGTCAGGGCACGGAGTCCCTAAAGGCTGCAGAGCCTTCAGGCCACAATCCAGTGCCTGATCCTTGTGGGCCTGACACTACCACTTACCTCCTTTAGCTTTTGGGAGCTGGAGAAACCTTCTCAGACTGCTTTGCTCTTAAAGCTCAAGAGATTCACCTTTGCTTATTCCTTCCCAATCTTTTCAAAGCCAGGCCCTGTGTGTACTGACTAGCAATAGAAAGACTTGGTGGAAACAAGACTGTGCCCCAGGCACTTCAAAGCCTGGTGCTTACCCCACGTGAGGAAGGTTGCAAAATCAGAGAGATCCTTGATGTTCTTGTGCACTGGCTGGCCTCTCCGAGTGCAAACCTGCAGCGCAAGCACAGCAGAGGGGTAATGCACAGCCCCCGGGTGGTCGTGCTGCTCACTCTTTGGCCTACATCCAAAACCAGCTGATTTACCACACTGTCGAGAAGAGGAATTAGATGCCTTGCTTAGAGCTTTATATTTATCACAGAATCACAGAATGACAGAATCTCTAGGTTGGAAGAGACCTCAAGATCATCGAGTCCAACCTCTAACCTAACACTAACAGTCCCCACTAAACCATATCCCTAAGCTCTACATCTAAACGTCTTTTGAAGACTTCCAGGGATGGTGACTCCACCACCTCCCTGGGCAGCCCGTTCCAGTGCCTAACAACCCTTTCAGTAAAGAAATTCTTCCTAACATCTAACCTAAAACTCCCCTGGCGCAACTTTAGCCCATTCCCCCTCATCCTGTCACCAGGCATGTGGGAGAACAGGCCAACCCCCACCTCGCTACAGCCTCCTTTAAGGTATCTGTAGAGAGCAATAAGGGCGCCCCTGAGCCTCCTCTTCTCCAGGCTGAACAAGCCCAGCTCCTTCAGCCGCTCCTCATAGGACTTGCTCTCCAGGCCCCTCACCAGCTTCGTCGCCCTTCTTTGGACCCGCTCAAGCACCTCGATGTCCTTCTTGTAGCGAGGGGCCCAAAACTGAACACAGTACTCGAGGTGCGGCCTCACCAGAGCCGAGTACAGGGGGACGATCACCTCCCTAGCCCTGCTGGTCACACTGTTTCTGATACAAGCCAGGATGCCGTTGGCCTTCTTGGCCACCTGAGCACACTGCTGGCTCATATTCAGCTGACTGTCCACCATCACTCCCAGGTCCTTCTCTGCCTGGCAGCTCTCCAACCATTCCTCTCCCAGCCTGTAGCTCTGCTTGGGGTTATTGCACCCCAGGTGCAGGACCCGGCACTTGGCCTTGTTAAACTTCACGCAGTTGACCTCAGCCCATCGGTGCAGCCTATCCAGATCCTCCTGCAGAGCCTTCCTACCCTCGAGCAGATCGACACACGCACCTAGCTTGATGTCATCTGCGAACTTACTGAGGGTGCACTCAATGCCCTCGTCCAGATCATTGATGAAGATATTAAAGAGGACCGGCCCCAGCACCGAGCCCTGGGGAACGCCACTAGTGACTGGCCTCCAACTGGACTCGACTCCATTTACCACGACTCTTTGGGCCCGGCTGTCCAGCCAGTTTCTAACCCAATGAAGCGTGTAGCAGTCCAAGCCAAGAGCAGCCAGTTTCTTGAGGAGAATGCTGTGGGAGACGGTGTCAAAAGCCTTGCTGAAGTCAAGGTAGACCACATCCACAGCCTTTCCCTCACCCACCAAGCTCGTCACTTTGTCATAGAAGGAGATCAGGTTTGTCAAGCAGGATCTGCCTTCCATAAACCCATGCTGACTGGGCCTGATCGCCTGCTTGCCCTTCAAGTGCCGCATGATGACTCCCAAGAGGATCTGCTCCATGAGCTTCCCTGGTACTGAGGTCAAACTGACCGGCCTATAGTTCCCCGGGTCTGCCCTCCGGCCCTTCTTGTAGATGGGCGTCACATTTGCTAGCCGCCAGTCAGCTGGGACCTCCCCCGATAGCCAGGACTGCTGATAAATGATGGATAGGGGCTTGGCCAGCTCCTCTGCCAGTTCTCTCAGTACCCTTGGGTGGATCCCATCCAGCCCCATCGACTTGTGCACATCCAAGTGCCGTAGCAGGTCACCAACCAGTTCTTCGTGGATGGTGAGGGCCACATCCTGCTCCCCGTCCCCTTCCACCAGCTAAGGGTACTGAGTATCCAGAGAACAACCGGTATTGCCGCTAAAGACTGAGGCAAAGAAGGCATTAAGCACCTCCGCCTTTTCCTCATCTCTTGTAACTAAGTTTCCCCCCGCATCCAGTAAAGGATGGAGATTCTCCCTAGTCCTCCTTTTTGTGTTGATGTGTTTATAAAAGCGTTTTTTGTTATCTTTAACGGCAGTAGCCAGATTGAGCTCCAGATGAGCTTTGGCCTTCCTAATTTTGTCCCTACACAGCCTCACTACATCCTTATAGTCCTCCCTAGTGGCCTGCCCACTTTTCCAAAGATTAGAAACCCTCTTTTTTCTCCTAAGCTCAAGCCACAGTTCTCTGTTGAGCCAGGCTGGTCTTCTTCCCCGCTGGCTCATCTTTGGGCTCATGGGAACAGACTGCTCCTGTGCCATTAGGATTTGCCTCTTGAAGAGCGCCCAGCCTTTCTGGACCCCTCTGCCCTTCAGAACCGCCTCCCAAGGGATTCCACCAACTAGTGTCCTGAGCAGCCCAAAGTCAGCCCTCCGAAAGTCCAATACAGTGGTTTTACTGGTTCCCTTCCTGGCCTCGCCAAGAATAGTGAACTCCACCATTTCGTGGTCACTCTGCCCAAGACAGCTCCCGACAATCACATCCTCCACCAGTCCTTCTCTGTTTGTGAAGAGAAGGTCTAGCGGGGCATCACCCCTGGTTGGTTCACTAATCAGCTGCGTCAGGAAGCTATCTTCCACGCTCTCCAGAAACCTCCTAGACTGCTTTCTCTGGGCTGTGTTGTGCTTCCAGGATATGTCAGGGAAGTTGAAGTCCCCCACGAGTACAAGCGCTGAAGATTTCGCGACTTCTGTCAGCTGCCTGTAGAACTCCTCATCCGTCTCCTCATCCTGGTTCGGCGGTCTATAGCAGACCCCGACCAGGACACTAGCCTTGTTGTCCCTGCCTATCCTAACCCAAAGGGACTCAATCTTGTCATTCCTAGCCTCGAGTTCTACAACATCGAAAGACTCTCTAATATAGAGAGCCACACCACCACCCCTTCTGTGCTGCCTGTCCCTTCTGAAGAGCCTATAGCCAGGCATCGCAGCACTCCAGTCATGAGACTGGTGCCACCACGTTTCCGTGATGGCAACCAAGTCGTAGCCTGCCCGCTGCACGATGGCTTCCAGCTCCTCCTGTTTGTTACCCATGCTGCGTGCATTGGTGTAGATGCACTTCAGCTGGGCCTTTACCTTATCCTCCAGCCTTGCCATTGCTCCCCCTGGCACAGCCCCAACAATCCTTGCTTCAGCCCCATCCCCCTTCTTACCTAGTTTAAAGCCCTATCAATGAGCCCCGCCAGCTCCTGGCCAAGGATCCTTTTTCCCCTAAAGGATAGGGACCCGTCTACGGCCATCAGACCAGGTGCTGAGTAAACTGCCCCATGGTCGAAAAACCCAAGATTTCTGCGTTGGCACAAGCCCCGGAGCCACGTGTTTAACAGGTGGGCTTTCCTTGTCCTCTCCGTACCCCTCCCTGTCAACGTAGGGATGGACGAAAACACTACCTGCACTCCCGCTCCGTCTACTAACCGTCCCAGCCCCCTAAAGTCTCTTTTGATTGCCTTCAGGCTTCTGTCTTCAATGTCGTCACTGCCCGCCTGGACTATCAGAAGAGGATAATAATCAGAGGGGCGTACCAGGTTGGGAAGCTAAATGCTGGGTTCCACACTTGGAATCATAGAATATCCTGAGTTGGAAGGGGGCAGACCTGAAGGGATGAAAGACACGGTCTCCCGATGGCTCTTGAGCAGAAGGCCTTTATTGCCATTTTTCTCTGCTACATATACTTTCCCCGTAACCATATGCGCTGTCCACGCACCTGAATCAGTCATACAATTCATTAGAGACCCTCAGCCACGCGCCTCAAGCCAGCCAGCAATTGACCACTGCGCAAAGCTCATCTTTAATGCTGTAGCCAAGTTAATTTATCTCCACCTTGTTCAAGTTTTTGTTACTAATGCCTAGTAAAAAAAGGGGCTTTAGGGCTTTGGGGCGACTACTTAAAGGATCAGGGGCACAGGTTGTGTTTGCCTCTGTCCTTCCGATAGGGGGGATCGATGCTGACAAGCAGACTCCACATTAACACGTAGCTTCGGGACTGGTGCAACTGGTAGAACTTTGGGCTTGCTGATCATGGGAGGGTCTATGTGATACTGGCCTGCTACCACCAGATGAGATGCGCCTCCCTGTAGTGGGTTTACCTGGCAAGGTTTTGGTAGCACGGGGCCACAGGAGTGGCTTTTGTGAGAAGGATCTGGAAGCTGCCCATGTTTGCTAAGGGCCCCTCTGCTGACCAGAGCTGAGCCAATAAGTCACAGAATCACAGAATCACAGAATTTCTAGGTTGGAAGAGACCTCCAGATCATCAAGTCCAACCTCTGACCTAACGCTAACAGTCCCCACTAAACCATATCCCTAAGCTCTACATCTAAATGTCTTTTAAAGACTTCCAGGGATGGTGACTCCACCACTTCCCTGGGCAGCCTGTTCCAATGTCTAACAACCTTTTCAGTAAAGAAGTTCTTCCTAAGATCCAACCTAAAACTCCCCTGGCGCAACTTAAGCCCATTCCCCCTTGTCCTGTCACCAGGCACGTGGGAGAACAGGCCAACCCCCACCTCACTATAGCCTCCTTTAAGGTATCTGTAGAGAGCAATAAGGGCGCCCCTGAGCCTCCTCTTCTCCAGGCTGAACAAGCCCAGCTCCCTCAGCCACTCCTCATAAAACTTGTTCTCCAGGCCCCTCACCAGCTTTGTTGCCCTTCTCTGGACTCTCTCTAGCACCTCCATATCCTTCTTGTAGCGACGGGTCCAAATTGAACAGAGTACTCGAGGTGCGGCCTCACCAGAGCCAAGTACAGGGGGACGATCACCTCCCTAGCCCTGCTGGTCACACGATTTGCGCCTCTGTGAAAGCATATTTAAGACATGGAAAAAAAACTCTGCGCCACACAGCAGCTGGGAGAGTGAGAGGAGTGAGGAACGGCCTTGCAGGCGCCAAGGTCAGTGAAGAAGGAGGGGGAGAGGTGCTCCAGGTGCCGGAGCAGAAGTCCCCTGCGGCCTGTGGTGAGGACCCTGGTGAAGCAGGTTGTCTCCCTGCAGCCTCATGGAGCACCACGGTGGAGCAGGGTTCCACGCTGCAGCGCGTGGAGGAGACCACGGTGGAGCAGGTGGCCCTGCACCGATGGAGGCTGCGGCCTGTGGAAGACCCCTGCCGGAGCAGATTCCGGGCCACACCTGTAGCCCGTGGAGAGGAGACCACGCAGGAGCAGGTGACCTGGCAGGAGCTGCTGCCCGTGGGGGACCCAGGTTGGAGCAGTTTGCTCCTGAGGGATGGACCCCGTGGTACGGACCCATATCTGGAGCAGTTCTGGAAGAGCTGCTGCCTGTGGGAAGCCCACGCCGGATCAGTTCAGGAAGGACTGCATCCCGTGGGTGGGACCCCACAGCACAGGGGATGAGAGTGACCGAGAAGGAGCGGCAGAGAAGAAGCACTGTAGACTGACCATAACCCCCGTTCCTTCGTTCCCCTGCACTGCTCGGGGGGAGGAGGTGGAAGAGGGTAGACGGGGGAGAAGGTGCTTTTGGCTTCTCTCCTTTGTTTCTCACTTCTCTAGCTTGTTAGTAATAAGCAATAAATCTTACCATCTCCCTATGCTGAGTCTGTTTTGTCCGTCACGATAATTACTGTGCGATCTCTTCGTCCTTATCTCAACCCCTGAGCCCTTTTCATCGTATTTTCTCCCCGTTCGTCTTTGAGGAGGGGGAGTGAGAGAGCAGTCGTGGTGAAGCTTGGCTGCCCACCCAAGTAAAACCACCACACTCTCTCGGAGAGGGGTAAGGATTTTTGCTCAGGACTTGGCAGGGCTGATAGGGCTTTAAACTAGAGTCGAAGGAGGAAGGGGATAAAACCAGGCATGCCGCTGATGAGCTGAGGGATGGTGCGCTAGAATCAGAGGGACGGTGTGCTAGTGAGGTCCTGCGGTCAGCTCCACAAGGCGCTGCGTGTAGGGAGGCGCGTTTGAAGTGCTTCTACACAAACACAGGCACTATGAGGAATCAAATGGATGAGCTAGAAGTCTTGGCCCTGTCCCACAGCTACGACATCATCAGCATAAGCAAAACCTGGTGGGATGAGTCCTGTGGCTGGTGTGTGGGGGAATTTTCTCCCAACAGAGGCAAACAGCACCTCTGTAGCCCTGCCATGTCACACGACCTCGCTTCCAGTGGCCACATGCTTTCTTTTTCCACTTAAGCTCTAGAAGAAGATCCCTGCTCAGCCAAGCTGGCCTCCTGCCCCGCCTCCTTGACTTCCAACATTTTGGAATCGCCTGCTCCTGTGCTCTTAGGAGGTCATGCTTAAAAAGATGGACCCCGATACCTTCCAAAACAGCTTCTCGGGATCTTCCTAACTAGTTCCCTGAGCAGCCTGAACTCTGCCCTCCCCGTGTCCAAAGTTCACAGAATTGGAGGGGTTGGAAGGGACCTCAAGAGATCATCGGGTCCAACCCCCCTGCCAAAAGCAGGCGTACTGGCAGTTTTCCTCCAATCGCCAAAGATTTTTAAATGTGAAGTGTCAATAGAGAGCTATTTGTGTTTGTATGTTCTTTCTTTGAAGTCTCTGATGTCTGGGGGTTTCAGAACAACTGCTAACAACTAGTAACTGTTATGACTTCCGAATGGGACACTATGCAAGCCCCTGATATCTGGCCAGGCGGCCAGGAGATTAAGGAGAAGAAAGAAGCTGAAGGATGGCTAGAAGACAAAACTTGCAGGGAACGCTGTGTAAGCTTTTGACGTGCTGCCAAGGAGTACAAAGGGGAAGGACAAGAAAAAAAAACGGAGAGGAAGACTACGAGCCTTCAGCATGAAAGACCCCCAGAGACCCCCAGGGGGACCACCAGAGACTGATGCGCATGCTCCAGTAGGAGGGTTTGGATCCCGGAAGCTAATTATAATAACCCATTTTTTTTAGAAGTAGTAATGAATATGTATCAGCCTAGGAGCATAAAAATCAGCTGCTTGATGTAACTGGTGTGCGTCCTGGTGGAGTGGAGACTCCCGGTGCACCCAGCGCTGTTTGCTTACCTCTATTCCTTTATATTCTTTTAATAAATCCTATTTTTTTATTTAATCCTAATTTGAATCCTGAGCCATTTATAACAAACCCCTCTCTCCTCTCCTCTCCCCATGGGGGTCAGAGCCCCCAGCCCTTCTGCGCTGTGCAGAGGAGCTGCTCCTGGGCAGAGCTGTCTCTCTGCACCAGGGCCCTCTTGCCAGGAGCTCTCCCTGTCCCAGGAGCCCAGCCCAGATCAGCAGCAGAAGCATTGGAATCAGCCCTCTGGGGGCTTTGGCGATGAGCCCATGAACCTCAGGCACTGAGAGTGAGTTGAAGAAATCTCTCAAGAAATCCAAGGCAGATGCAAGTTTCCTGCAGTGTCCCCCTGAGGGGGGACTCTGCTGGCACTGACACAGCCTCCCTTGGAGCTCATTAGAGCAGAACACTGGAGGCAGTGAGGACAGGTAGACAAATGTGAAGGTGACACTGATGTATTGAAAAACAGGCTTTGACCCCAGGCTCCTGGGAAGGGAGATCCTTTCCCTTCACACAGGAGCTCAGGGCTCTTCCTGGGCAGTAGGAGATGGGAATGTCCATGGCCCAGTGCAGGAGAAGGGTACGACTCCTGCCTGGTTCATGGCTGGCGAGGAGGCAATGAGACCCTGGTGCTTTAACAAGAAGCTGCCTCCTCATAGGCCTCGCTGTCAGAGACAACAGCCCTAGCCACTGACACACAGACCTCAGGCCTGTTGGGACTTTCAGCCTTTCCAGTGTGCTTGCTCCTCTCCACACCAAGGTGTCCAAGAGATTCACAGACCTGCACCTCTTTCCCTGCTGGCTGTGTGGTGTCTCATCAGATCGGAGCCGAGCATGGTAACTTACATTTTCTTGGTGGCCATGCTCCTCATAAGGCAGCTCTGTAGGAAGTTGGCCTGGTTCCTGGTGAGCTCCTGGTGAGCTCGTATGGCATCCCTCGTGGTGCCCAGGCCCTCCTCCTCCTGGGCACTGCTCACTCAGCAGGGTCCCAGTCTGCCCTGATGTGTGGGGTTCCTCTTCCTCTGGTGCAGGATGAGGCTTTTCTTCTTGTAAATGTCACGAGGTTTCTGTAGGCAAAATCCTGCAGTTTCTCAAGGTTCCCCTGGACAGATGCTCCATTCTGTCAGCCTTTCATGTCTGCAGGCAGACGTTTCAACCTTCGTGTGATTGTGCTATCTGTGACAAGTTAGCAGTATCAGGAGTTGCAGGAGAGTTTGGATAATAAAGGAGTAACCAGTTGAACGGAATTGCAGTACAGAGTCACAGAAGGCTAGCGGATGGAAAGCTGTCTGTTTCCACAAGTTATGATATCTCCCCTCCCTGGCACATTATTCTAATGACAAAAACAAAACAACAAAAAAACCCTATATAGTCACTGCTAGAAATGTGTAAACCAGTTAAACACACTTTATAAAACCTTACAACAATATTACATTTTTACTGAAACAATCACAGGAGCAATTTCACCTGTACTTACTATCCAGTCATCTGAGCACAAACAGCCCTGAGATTTATGTACGAGTGGAAACATAATTTCTATTATCTCCGACATTAAACTTGGCAATGGAAAATCCCGTGCCTGGAGTGCAAAATCAATTTCAATAACCAGAATAGCAAGAAGTCAAAGGCAGAACTTGGAAAGGACACGAGTTTCTCAAATAGCCAGCCAGCCTCTTCTATTAGGGGGATGCCACTGGGATAGGATGGGATGGGCAATTGGATATGCTGCCTGGCTTTTTTCTCTCAGCGTGAAATATTGCTGTAGCTACGTGAGGCTGGTTCAGGATCACAGTAACGTGTCTCAAACTTGGTCTTCCCTGTCAACCCACATGCTCGGGATATAATAATCAGAAGAGAAACCACCAAATCACAAGACTTTTCGTTGCACCCAGATTTGGATCTTCTTCCAAGATCCATTTCAGCCCGATTTACTGCAATTACAAACCTTTGCCTTAAACATGACATGGGAGGCTTTAAATCTCTTTCCACTGTTGAGGCTTGAGGTTGATGGAGGGGAGCGTTATCATGCCTGTAAGGACTCTGGATATTCCCATTTGCAAGCAAAATACCAGCTCCCCACCCAACTACAAACTGTCACATTGTGCTGTGGTGGCAAAACTCAGAACTGGGTTTGACAAGCCATGATGCCACAGGCACCTGAATGGAGGATTTGATCCCAGCTCAGACGCGATGACACGAGCTCTCTGGAAGTAAAGACGGGCTGACACTAGGACACCTTTGCTCTGCGAAGGCAAACCCTTCACCTTCCATCACAAACGGGTTCCTTCCCTCCTGCAGTGAATTCAGGAGTCAAGCAGAAAACCAGCTATCTCAAAGTTTATCAAAAAAAGGCGGATAAGGGACAGCATATACCAACACTCCTAAAAGAAATAGCAAAAAACTAAGTGCTACTTTCAGTGCAAGAATATGCACAAGTGACAATGAGCTGAGGCTCTGCCATGAACTACAATCAGCAAGAAATGAGGCAAAGGCCTGGGCCACCCTCCCAGCTCCCCTCACTCATGTCCCTGTGATAACCAGCAGCCAGTGTTGTGGAAAAGGAGAGAGACTCCTGAGTGATCCTTCCTAATAGATTCGTCTTTTATCATGTTTTCATGACCTTTGTAAAAGGCAATTTAAATTCTAATTGTCCTGCGAGCACCACAGGAATCAATTAGTGACAAGAGATGTTAATTGTGCAGCCAGGGAGGAGGCATTGCTAGGCTGCTCGGCTCCAACACGGGGTTAAGAGCCCAGAGGGATGCTGGGATGGTTTGGGCTTTAATCAGTCCTCCCTTTTTAATAGTTTCCATGTTGTGCTGCAGTTGTCAAGGTCCATTAGTCGCAGGCAGCGCTGAATGAAGCGGTGGCATCCTCCCCCCGCTCCTGCGCTCCGCAAGCACACGCACAAAGGATCAACACGCACTGCCATGGAGAAAGCAAATCCTAAAACCTCCTCTTTTTGTTCTCACTTCCTTCCCTACAGACCCTGCATAGAAATCAGGCCTTGGGCAGTGGCTATTACACACTAAATGCTTAATGTTGGTGGACTGTAGGGGAAGCAGACGCATTTCTCTCATCTCAAGATCCACCCAGAGCCTCCCATGAAAAGCAAATGCTCCTCTCTCTGCACCAGGACACACAGCACTTCTCTCCTGAAGGCCCTGGCACTGTTCAGCCTGTCCCTTGAAATGCCAGACGAAGGTCACGCTGAATGCCCAGTATCTGTACTGCACAGGCATGAATTGGGAAAATGTGTCTGAGCCAGAAGCAGAATACGTGGCCTGACAGACTGCCCAACCCATCCTGGCACGGGGACGTCTCAGGCAAAGAGAGCTTGGCACAAGCACATGGGCATGCCTTGGGATTCATCGTTTGTTACGTGTTTCTCACCAGGTGTGAGTGGTCCCACCCTGCACCCGCACCATCTGGCTCATGGGCAGCTGTGCCAGAGGAGTTAGGCAATGATTCAGAAGTCCTCAGCACCTCCACAACACATCGCATAACTTCATGCTAGGAAAGCTTATGCTGTGCGAGGTCATGCATCTGGGAGAGTTAAATCCCCCAGAAATAACAGCCCCACCACTATTAAACACCATCACAGACCATTACCATCACCCACTTAGTCAACCACCAACCTCAGATGATGCCTTGGGGAAGTGCTGTGCCAGCCCCTGGGGAATCTGTGCTTTTCTATTATATGGAATTCACACTTCAAGATCTCACTTTCCAACTCCACATTGCCAGGGCCTTCACAAAGACAAGAGAAAGGCATGCCCCCTTCCTTGTAAACAAGTATCTGATCAGAGAAAAACTGCAGCACAAAAGCACATTGGGGTTAGATTTTTCTTTCAAACCTTTATTTGTACTCACTCACATGCTCAGTCACCCATTAGCTTCTGAAACTGAACAGGATCCCACCTACGAGCTCTATTTTATCACGGATCTGACATAGAATTGCAGGCTCGCTCCAGCCATGTTCCTTCTAAGGCTCTAAACCTCTGCCTTCAGCCCCCCTGTCGAAGCTCTTGATTCTTCTGGGCTTATACCCCACAGCCACAGCCGAGCTCTGCATTTCTGCACCAGTCCCTGACCATAGACACAAAATCTCCTTCCCTCCACCCCGTCCCCTTCCGTGGCACTGACCTTCCTTTAGCCATCCACTGTTCAAACTGGGGACACGTCCCAAGGCTGGGGCAGCTCTATCCTGCCCATACCACCCTCTTTCCAGATGATGTCTAGTATTTTTCTGACAGTCTTGAGCTTTTGTGAGCCATGACTCCTTTACTCATTTTTTGCTGATCATCTAAATAACTCACTGCCTCGAGGACCCCACACTCAGCCTATTTGCTTTCCTCTCTGCAAATCCAAGAGGAATTAAATCAGCCTGTGCTAGTCGTGGGGCGTTGCTGCAGCACATCCCAGCACGCTCCCGTTCACAATGGGGCAGTCAGTGTACAAGGTAGGCCAGGCCACCCCTCTACATGGCCATTTGCACCCCAAAAACAGCGTTCCTGCCCAGGACATTAACCTCTTCTGCAAAGTGTGCCCACTCCTAGTGCTTCACTAGGATGTTTAATTACTTCTGACTCTGCTCAAAGCACAGTAAATGCTTTTCTTGGGAATGCTTTCCCCATGGACTCTGACTGCTTTATTTTGTCTGTGCCACACTCTCTAGCAGCCTCTGGAATAGGAGACGGGGACTGTTTTTGTAAGGAATGCTGAGCACTACAGGACACCACTGCCATACATCCTAGCCAGATTGTCACTTTTGCCAACTGAGCTTTAGGCACCCAACCTAGAAGAAAGGAGGAGAGGACCTCTGTCTGTGAATGTCTCAGGACATCTGCTCCCTGGTAGCAGCATCAGAACCAGAGGTCCCTCCCTGAAACTCACTCATGAACATGAAGCTAAGCATAGCTTTGGCCACTGCAATTTAGAAGAGGTTTGAGACTCAAGCCAGAGGGCCAGCACGAAGCCTGGCATTAGCATCTCACTGAAATTTCTGAAACATCTTTCCTCTGCGTGGAACCCAGAGCTTCATAGCAACACAACAGACTTCTGTGGCACAAATGGGAACACAAACTGGCAGGTGAGAAGCACAATCCCCAGGTGAGGTTCCTCCCATCCCTTGCCAGCTAGTCCTTTCCAGCTGCCACATTCATTTGCCTGAGCAGTGGAACAAAGCCAACTTCGCTCCCATCAACTTTATGAAATATAATTAGTATTTTCTCTACTCATTCTCTGTCCAGAAGATCCACAATCCCTTTTTTGCATTTCCATAAAAAATAATGCATTTTGTTCTGCTTCACAAGGTCCATTGCTCACCTGCCCACATCTCTTTTAGACTCCACTAGTCTTCATTTCTTCCACCAGCACAATCATTTCATGCCTTCTTCTCTTTCTTTTGTTATTTAGGAGGCTGTGGACACATTTTATTGCTGAGATTTACAAAACAACTCAGTCAACCTTCATATAACAGACTGATGCGGCTCTAGAAATGGGAAGGAATGATGGTGTTGTTTGGTCACCATACCACAAACGACTCTGTAGTCCCAGCTGATCAGTCTCAAACCCAACGGGGAGGTTCATCTCTTGAGCCCCACATCGCAGAGCCCTTCGGGATTCAAGGTGCTGTACATACTCCTGGCAGAGCCAGAACTGAGCTTGTTCTGGTGCACTGCACTAGCTCTGTGCTGTTTGAAGTCCTCATATAAAATTAGCATACAGTATGCCTGATCTTTTCAAACCAAACAGGAAACAAATGTTCTCCAGAGGATCATGACAGAACCAAGGAAAATAGGCTCATATGTCAAGAGATTCCCAGAGGCATCAGTTCCCCATGCCTAGAGATCAGCTGAGAAGAGGAACTCCCTCTGGAGGTTGCTAATGCCTTCCTCTGCTTTTCAGAAATGATGACAAAGCCAAGCTTGCTCTCTTCCTTTTCCCCTTTATTCATTCACACCAGCATCTGAATTGCATGCTAACGCAGCCAGCACTATCTGTGAACGTTCGGGGGAAAGCAGGAGGGCTCCAATCAAACCTGCCGTCTCGGCAAAGGGTGCATTCACAGCTAATCACTCAGTGCAACGGGAGAACCTGGAGCATAAGCTGCTGCCAGACGGGAGCTGAAGTAAAGAGCTGCTGAACAGAGGTGCCAGAGGAAGCCTTTTTCATGGCTCAGCAACTTCTAACACTTCCTTCCATAAATCCAAGTTAGCCTGCATATATTTTACCATCAAATCTGCTAATAACATGTATTAAGTGTACCTTATAGAGAGAGTTACCATATATATGTGCTGTTAACAGAAAAAACAAAGAGCATCATACGTACCCACATCTTACATATCTAATTAGCAGACATTACTCCAGACACACCTGATTTTATCTATGCCTTTAGCATTCACTGAGCATGCCTCAGGGGTCCTGATATTCCTAATCCTAAATGTAATCTTTAACCTCCATTTTAACTCCCCAAAATTGTTGCCCTGAATGCCTCCTGTGGCGCTGTTATTTATTCACAGTTAAAGACAGCATTATTTCATCAGCCCATCTACCTCTTGCTCTCCTGATTCTCTCTATTCAGAAGCTGCTTTGCTTCTTTCCTTTTTCGCTCACCTGGAATAGTCTGTAATGGCTCCCCCATGGATCCTCACTACCCACCTGTCTCAGTCCAAGCGTGATGGTTGGAATCAGGTCCCTTGCTGAGAGCACTGACTGGTGTTTCTCATCAGCTGAACTATGCTTGAGGCAGGTGCTAAAGCTTCACCAGCTTTTGCCTTTTTTCTCCTCTGCTCCTAACTAGAGGGATCCTGTAAGGAAAAAAGAGAAGCCCAAGTTCACACACACAGTGTGGGTACCTTCAGAAACATACCAGAACCAACATCTCAGCAACAAAACTTCTATTTGACTAGACACATTAGAAAGAGACAGTGAAAAAACAAGTAGCAGTTATGAGAATTGGGCTAAAGAGAGGGAGGCCAGCAAGATGGGAATTTCATTTGCCAAGTAGGAACTTAAACTGATTAGCTTCAAAGAGCCTGGAGTGAATGTTGACATCAATTTGACTTAAAGCTGCTATTATTTTTCAAAGCCATTTTCACCAGCTGCCAGAAAACACAACCACATTCAGAAGCTACAAGAAAACCTATCAGCTTTCAAGCAGCTGAGCTGCAGCCAGTTTCCCATGATAGCATCTGGCACTGACTGTATCAGAACCGTGTCATCAGAGCATGGAGCACCAGCATTTCCCTTTCCAGTGTCAGGCCTTGCCCTGGTACCCGTCATGTTCGTCGGCATCTCAAGCTTAGCCAGCACCAGCCTGGCACTCAGCACGTACCTTACAGTCACTTACAAGGCACCAAGGCCAGCAGCAGGCGTGCTTCCTGTGTTGGATCTTTGTAGGCTACACTAGCACCAGCCATGCCTGTACCAAGGCCATATAGCCCTGAGGTTGCCGTAACTAAGCCTCCTGCTGAAAAAGAAACAACAGGAAAATTTGGATATCTCAGCAGAAATGTGGACCATTTCTGCTCTGGACTGAGAATTGAGCCCGCCACGAGGCAGCCAGTGGAACAGACCCAAGTATATGAGAAAACCACGTGAACACACCAGTCCTACCGGACCAAGCCCTGGCTGCTATTGTACTTCCCCAGCTCTCACTGACAGCAGGGAGAAGGTTACATTAATTTGACCATGACAGATGGTTTAGGATTTGAGGGCTGGTACTGCATTTCTGAAAGACTATTTCTGACAGTCACTGTCCAGCCTGCTCAAGCCCATCAACTTGCGTAAGACAAAAAGAGTTGAGACAAGTCCCACGATGCACAGATAGTTGGCCAAATTGTCATGTTTTCTCTTCATAAAGAGCAATGTCAGAGTTTTAGGAAACCTGGGAAAAGGGAAAAGAAGGAAATGCGATAGCCACCTTTTCAGCTCTCCATGAGCCACCTGAGAGCTCCCCAGGACAAATGTGGTCTCTACAGCTTAGTATGAACAGTGCATACGCTCTGGATTGAGGAAAAAAAAAAAAAAGGCAAAATATAAGAGCCAGACCAGTGTGCTACACAAAGTCTTCCCAACAGAGGCAGCGCAGTGGCCATCTCTGCTACTCAGGCTGTAGAGAAGCAAACACAAAATGGCAGCAATTTCTAGCAGAGCTGTGGAAGAGATGTGAATGTCTTTCAGCAAGAGGGAGACAGCTCCACCACAGCATCCAGATGGCCATGCATGAGAGGGAGTCTTAGCACTGGAGAAAGACCTGGGCTTGGCAATGTCTAAAGCAATGCTTTAAGAATATGCTGGGACACCCAATCTTTTTCTGGAAACCAAATTGCAAGGAAATGGAAGCACAGGGCACTGACTGAAGAGAGCTGACATGAGCTTTAAGAGGCTGATCTTAAAGCTTCTTTCATTTATATCTCCACAAATGTAAGAGCAGAGGAGCTCTCTGGGTTGCTGTCCCTTCAGTAAGTGGTACACCCTTTATATTGCTCCTAAAATTGACACGCTTTTTGCCAGTTTGACAAGGAGGCCCACATTTTGTTAGGAACTTGTTTGTGAAGCTCTGCTTTGGGAGTGGAAAAGTGATGGGGCACACAACCCCTAGCCAAAACAGCCAGTCTGGGAGACATTCAGGTGTGTCCCCTGGTGGTAAATACAGCAGACATCTCTACTGGCAAACCTCTAGCCTTCTGACATGCTCTGCCATGGTCAAGAAACACATTCCTACAACTAAGCACATAATTAAAACGTAGTTTGTATGTGTGCACAGACAGAGAAAAACGTTCTCAGACTGACAAGATGGAAGAACAAGATGTGGCTTGAAGCAAAGAGAAGGAAACACCTCGCTGAGGAAACAGAAAATTGTTTTAACAGCAACAGCCACTGGGTGGTGGAGTCTGCTACCAAGAGATATGGTCAAGAAGGCACTGTTGCAAGGAGCCAGAAGAAGCTTAGGTAGAGTAGTTAGTAATGGGGCTGGCACAGGGAAATCCTGTAAGTCCTGGAGGTCAGATATATCCTAATGATCCCTCCCAGCCCCACCCTCAAGACATCTACACAAAGATAGCAGAAAGCATGGGTGGTCGGAAGGAGTGAGTGAGCAGGGTTACAATTAATGCCCTAATTAAACAGATGCAAGATGGGTAGCACCTGGGATCAATATTTCTATTCATTTACAAGCATAACAAGGTTAGAAGGGTGAGCAGAGTAAATACACTCATTTACAGTTTTTTATAAAAAAAAAGTTATTTTAATCTTCTGGGTAATTAGCTATGCAGTCAACATTAATCACAACCGCAGCAATTATTTGAAGTATTTGATTAATCAATCCAGAGGAAAAACAGAGCTAGGCCAAACCACCTTTGCTGCACAGCCCTCTCAGGCTATCAATCAATACAGGTGCTGGCTTTCAGAAACACACCGCATTTCCTGCTGGCTCTAACATGCCACGCTCCCTGGATGGATGGATATAACAATACGATAGCTGCGGTCCAAATGGGGTAGATGAAGACTATGACGTTTCCAAATTGAACTACAGAGCATTTACTAATGCGAGGCTTGCTGAGCTGTGATTCTCATCACTTGTGGCCCTTCAGCCACTAAAGGACATTACAATCACATTGCTTGCACAGACCTTATAGTACACCTGAAATTACTACTATGGGACAGTGCAGGTCAGACAATATGGGCAGAGGAGCTAAAACTCTCAACTGTATCCTTCTCACCCGTAATCAGAATAATTATTTATATTAAGGAAGAATCATGAGCCTAGGAAATGGTCTTAATATTAATATTTGAAATTCACATTAGAAAAAATCAGGGGTATTGATTATTTCTTGGTTATTTTCCCTTCTAGTAATCATGTCACTGTGGAATTCCAGTTTATAACTCCTGCTACTGGTAGCAGCGATCTTCAGTTTTGTTCCATTAAGTTCACAGACTCTCGGAAAACTACCCAAATCAAATTTCAGTGCCTTTTTGAGAATGCTCACACCTCCCGGCACACAGCTGGTAATGTGCTGTATTAAAGTACATTCTCATCTGGTTTTGCTCTGGATTAGGCTGCTGCTTTCAAAAATGCAAATGTTAACACCCAGAACAAACTTGGCTTGATGATGTTAAGCTTATGTGTAAACCGAAATGCAGCAGACTTTCATTACAAGAACTCAACCATTTATAAGGCACTTTTAATGTGGTACATTTTAAAAAACAAATATTGGAACATTCAATCTGTATTTTATTGTTTTTCTTCCCATCTATCACTTTCACTGCAGCATATAAATGAAACTAACATTTCTTTAACACAAAAATAGGAAACAATCAAAAAGAGGAAACAATCAAAAATTTGGACTGCCACAACTCTTGCAGAAAATCAGTGTGCCTCATGGTCATGGTAATGCAAAGTTCTGAGGCATGCCCATCAGTTAGCACTCTCTTCTAAATACAGATCAGGTGAAAGGCAGGCATTCCAGTGTGCACAAAAGAGACAAGACTACCACACAAGGGAGAAGCACACTCCCAAATTTTTGTAGAAACTGTCCCAGCCATGCAAAGCCAGGAAATTCATACTCAAATGTAGAGGACCCCCTATAAAAAGAGAGGTGGTGTCTAGGATAAGCCAGCACAAGCATGCGTCTGGTAATACCACTCCAAGTTTTGAGTCTGCTCTTCAAGCAGCATATTTCCTACAGCTGGCATGCAAAATACTGTAATAGTGAAGAACGTCCCATTTTGATTTAAATGGATGCATTTATTTCCAAATGGGAGACCATAAGTTAAACAAACACATTTCTCTTTGCACATGAAAGCATTGTTTTGTCACAGATGTACAGTATAATACATTTATTTGCTCAATTGTTTTGTATTTGTAAGGCACTGCCAGTTATTTGGATGGGTTTGTAAGGATGAAGCAAATTGCTCTGTGGGGCTCTATTCAGGGAACATAATATTCCCACAAAAACACCATAATTCTGCACGCAGCAACACAGACTACCACGACACTGCAGCAGCTGGCAGGGTGGATGCAGTTAGCATTATCAAAACCAGCATGGCAACTGTACTCCAGAACCCGCTTACATGCATAAATTAACAATGAATGTACATTGATTAACCCCCACCCTGACTCCAAGGAGTCCTGTTTTCCCTGCAATAAATCTTTGAACCTTACCACAGTTATTTTGTCAGCTGACAAGGCCTGGGGAACACTTGAGCTTTTCCTTGAACCACTGTGTTGGCCCAACCCTGGCCTCATAGCCCTGCTTGCTTAAGTGCAATAATACTAAGCCAATATTATGGTTAAATCACAGCCTCTGGTCACCATCACTCTCCTAAAATCTATTCTGTTGTATCAAACTCTGAGATATCTTCACCACCCTTTGCTGCCCCGATGTCCTCAGGCTTCTCAGTCCATTCGGCAGCTTCCACCAACCACTCCCCACATGTCCAGCCTTCCGAAACTTGGCCACAGAGGCCTTCCGATCCATCTCCGAGCCCTTCTGCTTACACAGAACGGTGAAGAAAACAGCAAAGATGTGTTCTGAGTGCAGGCTGGCTAACTCAAGTTAGTTAACTCAGGGTAAAGTAGGAATGAAGACAAATCAGCTTACATGTTAGGTGCTTGAGAGTACAAGCCTGTCCTGGAGGCACAAGTACAGCACAATATGGTAATTCCAATTTCAAGTCAGGTTCAGTATCACAAAAGACAAGCTGAGTGCTATGCCTTTAGCACATGTAGGTGGACAGGCAGGTTCACACCGAGCACAGAAAGCAATAATGAAGACGCAGAGGCAGGCTGAATATCTAGATCAGATAGGATGATAGGAAAGCCTCCTGTTTTACTACCGCCTCTCTGAAATATCCCTGCAGTTTTCCATGACAGCTGATTTGACCTTTAACTGAAGGCACACCCTCACTTAGTGGCTAGCTGCTATGGGCCACCTAAGCCAGGTATCTAAGCTGCCTAAGCCAGGCTTCACTCTTCATAGTAATGACTCTTCTCTGCGTATGAATGTGCTTTTGGGTGCTGCTTCTGCTGTCAGATGAAGCTCAGTTTGAGCAAACTCCACGCAGCCTGGTTTAGATGAGCAGGTGCAATGAAATTGAGCAAGAGAAAAATTCTGCATCAGCAGGATTATCAAGAGAGAAATAGTAGAGAGGGGAAGAGAGAGGAGGGGGGCCTTAAAGAAACAATCACCACTTGTTTCACATACGTTATCTGCTACAGATGCAGACTGTCTGCCAACCAGTACGTAAACCAGAGCTGTCAGTGCTGAGGCTGGGCTTGAGCATATGGCAGATTTCCAGGGGAGGCTCCTGGGACGAGAGCAGAGAAGACTGCTCAGTGGAGGACAATTTACTCAGATGGACTCTACTGACACTTGACCAAGAGTTGAAAGCTCTGTGAAGAGGTCTCACAGTGATGCTCAAGACACCAACCTTAAGGCCTGATCTCTTGGAACCTTTTCTCCAGCTACAGGGGGGTTGTTCAGGCTCAGGAGGCTCTAAGCCCATCCATTCACCTGTTTGCATGCAGCCTCATTTGCAGCTTCTCTTGATGAAGCAATAACTCATGACCTCAGAAAATTTACTACTTAGAGCATTGACAGATAATAATAAATGCTAATAACACCAATGCTGAAGGGAATTTGGGCTGAGAAGAAATCTCAGCTTTCTGGATTCTTTTTTTTTTTTTTTTTTGCAGGACCATTTTAATTTTGGCCTGTCACTTCAAGGAATGGAAGTGGATTCCAGTGGGATCCAGGGAATGGCTATTCACTGGGTGATGATAACACAGCACCCTAATCATGGCCATAATCGTTTTGTAATATACATTGTGGCTGAACATCACTGGAAGAGAGTAAAATAAGGAAAATAAGAAATCCTGCTGGCAGAGTCCTCAGGGAGCCCTTAAAGTCTGCCTGTGCTGAAGCTTGGCGGTGGGGGCAGGCAAAGGCAGTGTCGCTGTAACAGGGTATAGCTCTTTCAAAACACTTGTCAGCCCAGCTCTCTAAGCTCTTTGCAAAGGTAAGTCAGACCATTATCCTTGTTTTCCACATCCCCATGTGGTTTACCCCAAATGAGCCACCCCCCAGAGATGTGCAGCCCATCCTGCCTGATTGCCAGCCTGACAAGAGGTCACCTGAAGGGCAGCAGTCTCTGACCACCGAGATGACAGTGAGCAAACCCCATAAAAAGCCTCGGAGTTGGGATGATTTTCCTGATGCTGGTTATTTCCTAAGTTGTTCCAGAGAGACTGAGAGCCATCAGAGGCCCACACGCCAGTAGGCCTCTCGGGACAGGAAGGCAGCGCGTGGGTAGGCTGACCCCCCTGCCACTCGCAGCAAAGAGGCTAATCACATCGAAATAACTCCTCTAGGAACAGCAATATTTGTCAGATTATCTGTGCATTTGCTAGCAGGGTGCATGAGGGTGTTGCAGATCCAGCCAGCTAATTCACCAAATTCAGTTTCACTCTGACACCAGGCTGGTAGAAGCAGGGAAGAAGAGGCGAGGTAGTCAGTGTGCCTGGATGCACAAAACCAGGTGAAGTAAATTCCCTAAAATATCTGAAGTGTTCTTAGAACACGGTTATTGTGATGCTGCTTGAAATACAGCAATATCATATGGTGATCAATAGGGATTGAAAATGTGTCAGTTTCACAAAACACCTCCTTGTTTCAAAATAGACCATTAAGAACCCAGAAAAAAACAGAAGTGAAATTATTCACAGCAGTTAAAACAATTGAAATTGAACATCTTTTTGTTTCTGAAGTTCAAGTTATTACATGAATTCATGTCTGAAATGAGCAAATGCAAAAAAAAAAAAAAAAAAGCAATCCATCACACAGCACTGTGTTTTACACCGGGTGACCACTAAGGGTCTCTGTTGCTTAATGTGGGACACAACTGAGATTTTTCTCCCTCTGTCATGATGTTTTGTCATCCCAATCCATCCCTTCCCCCATCCACGCTACCTAACTGCCCCACACCCACCCCCAAACACCAAACCACTGCCACCTGACATCACCTCCTGCAGTCAGAGCATCTGTAGAGGCTCAATAACACGTGCATGCATGGGCAAACACACCTCTTCCCGGAGGCAAACACATCCTTTCTTCTCAGAGCCTGCAAGCATCGATGCAATACCCAGGCTCGTGTGTGGATTCCAGCATCACACGTCTGGGTGTGTGGACTGCAAACGAGAATGCCAGTGGTTAAAAAGCATGAACTTCAGGCAACCAGTAGGTAATTATGGAGGGATGTGTCTGTGTGGCTCAGCTCCAACATCAACAGAGGGAAGAGCTCTGCCTATTGAGTCATCAGCAACATTTCCTTCCAGCCCTTGGGTTTTCCCTGACAGGACTCCCCTGCGGGTTCTGCCCAGACCCACAATGGCTGAGCTCAAAAGCTGCTGAGCTCACAACCCAAGGGAATGGGGTTTCAGCCCCGCACAGCTCATAAAAATTTCCAGGCCACGACTGTGTTCCAAGGACACAGAGCTTCATCAGCTCCTTTGTCACAGTAATTGAACTGAACCCTACCAATACACCTCTCCCAGCCATGCCAGGGAAGCTGCAGAGATACCATGCCATAACCAAGCTTCCCAGGGATGCCAAGAGACACCAAAGTCACACAAGAGCTTTATAGCACCCCATCCCTTTGGTTTGCCGTGTCTCCAGAACTGGCCATTGCCTGAGTGCACCCACAAAGGAATTGTCAACTCCTATGTGGAATGAGAATATGGCTAATTAGAGATTGTTAAATAATAGGAAGGCATTTCTTCTTAATCAGAGACCAGACACCATCTAAAACCCACAGATGTATGCCACGCATTATCATAAACACACACACAGGGGTCATTTCTTAAGGGCTGTCTTCCATGCTTATTGCATTTATGCTACTTGCTATGAAAAGAGTCAGACAACTTTTAATTCAGTTTCCTGTTTGTCCTACTCTTTCTTCTGCTTCTGTTTCTCCTTTTTTTCTCCCTCTAATTTTTTCCCAGCCCCATGCTCTATGTTTCTGCTACTGTCCCCGTGCCTTCCAGCAGAGATACACTGTAAGTAAAGTGAACACATGCTGGTCTCTCTCTTCCACATAATTGTCTGTAACTCTCTCTCAACAGATTTGTTAGTCCCACAGAATAGTCATGCAATGGTTTCCGATGACAAGCAGGGCTTGGCCCTCACTATGCTGTATTGGATGCAAGATCACAGGAACAAGTTAAAACAACGAGCTTTGTGGAGAACACGGGGTATTTGCCAGTGCTCTGCAATAAAGCACCTGTTCTAAAGGCTGTGGGCTTTACTGCAGCAGCGTCTTTCCGTCCCTTAACAGAGACAGAGCACCAGTGAGATTCTCCAGGTCTGCCGGAGATCTGAAGATATTTCCGAAGGCCAAGAAGGAAGAAGCTGAAAAGGTCAGCTTCTGAACGGCACGCGTCGGAAAAAAACAAATATGAGTGATCAGCACTTCTAGACAGTGAAACAAATGAGTGCTTCCATTCCTGGGGGAAATGGGGAATGAGCAAACTCTACCACTCTGTTCCACAGTGTACAGGAAATTTGAATGATTGATGGCAAGAGTAAGGAAATGCACATTCAGCTTCTGCTTCCAATGTACATGACTTGTACCTCACCCCTCTGCTTCCTGCTCCTTCACACAGGCCCCGCACCCAGCCTGTTATCTGCAGTGTGGCAGCGTGCATCAGGGAGGAAGAAAGGGAGGACAATCCTTGCTAGACTGCTCCTCATCCCAGATTTAAACAAGCAAAGACAGCACGTAAAATCAAAAAGGGGGGGGGTGTCAAATAGCTCCATCCTGGAGCTCTTTTTGCCCACAGACCCAGCATGGAGGACACAAGGATGGACCAATGAACCCTGCAGCGCTGTGCCCAGATCCCGCTGAAGGACAGCCACAAAGAGTGCCAGGGGCAGAAGGCAGCCCCTGCTTGTACAGAATTTCTCCTTGCCTTACAAAGGTCAAAGTGGTAAGCAAGGAAGCTTTTTAAAATGCTGCACAGTCTGAGGGATCTGTCTGGTTCACAGGGACACTCAGACGCAGCAACTGCCAAGGCAAGAGAACGAACCCAGAGAAGGCTGTGAACATCCGCCTGCAGGAGACATGCCCCTCTTCTTTCCCAGGCAGCTCAGTGAGAGGTGCTTATTTTTACAAAGCAGGCTCTGAGATCTTAAAGAAGCAATGTTGTCGCGGTGCCCTAAACCAATGAGTATGTGACCTACCCATTCCCACTATGTCCCTTGACCTTTTCCCATAACATTCTCCAAAAGCATCACATGAAAAATAGCCCTGCTCAGCTCTCCAGAGGCTTTGGAGACAGCATCAAAGCTCTGTGCTTATAAACAATTCCAGCTAGGCCCAAATGCCATTCCAGCATCAGGGATCCCAGGGTTTCCATGCCTGTCACAAGATGCTGGAGGGAGAGGAGGCAGGGGAGAGGCAGCCCGTGTTGCTAAGGGGAATGGGAAGCGAGGGGCAGACGGCTGGGTGAGAGCTGAGCTCCACAAAAACCCACTGGGCTGAGCTAAGGTTTATCCACACGGCTCAGAGGCTACACGGAATTTGGTTTTGCCTTCTCCTTTATTACAAAGGGCTTTCGAGCTCTCTGAGCATGGAAGTCATTTACTGCAGTGATCCTCCAGCCTAATCCTCCTGTTCTTTCCTTCCTTCTCTCACTCTGCACATCCACTGGCTAACGCTCCTGCATCTGTCTTGGAGCTCAATTTAGAATCAGGTAGAGACAGAGAACTCAGCTCAGGGGACAGTACTCAAGCTCCAGGCCTTGTTATTTGTTGATTCTTATGGATTTGAAGTCAAAATAGCAGCTGGGCAACAAATACTACAAGAATCCCCGCCAGCTCCCTCTGGGGTCTCACACAGTCCCTGGCATGCTCCTGCCTTTTGCAAAAAAGGCCAAGAAATGTTAACTGTTCCTGCTTTCATGTTTTCCCATATCTCCAGACGCAGTTCCCTTGGCAATGGCTGCAGACCCTCTTCAGACACCTTCTAAGAAGCCAATGCTGCAGAATGTGTCCAACAAGCAGGACTTTTCCTCAACCATCACTTGATTACTGTGACTTGAACCCGTTCTTAATTTTTCTCAGGTTTGCCCCTTTTAGATCCTGGCTGTGCTCTCCCACTCCTACCCCTGGCTACAGGCAAGGCCTCCAGTCAGCTAATCCACATCAAAGGCTGTTAGAGGACTAATTACAGTCTGAGAAGCATCTCAAGCCACACATCACCTCCCCTCCAGCTCTACCACTTTAATCTGGGCTTGGGTACCCTGCGGTATAGCCCAGCAGCCAAGGAAAATCATTTTTGTCTTTACGTGGAATGGTGCCAGCTGCAGCCAGACAGGTTTGTGTTTGGCTCTTACGTGATAATAGGGACGTTGCACTCTTGCAGGGCAATAATTTCAGCCCCAACAAGGAAACTGGGTAATTACAGAGAAAAGCAGCAGGTGCTTCAATCATGCCTCCTCTGTGTCAGCTCTTTAAAATGTCATTGAAAAGAAATGGTGGGATAATGAAGGCCTTAACTCCTTTTCAAGGCACCTGACTACCGGGCAGGACAGCCAAAGAGGAAGGACCAAGGCTGGAAGCACTACATCATCCTTCCTGATTCCTGGGGACTGACCCGAGAGGCTGTGAGGTCTGGGACAGGACGACGTGATCACAGGATGGCATAAAACAGGAATATAGTCATCTGAATTCTTTTGTTGTAGGTGCCTCCAATTTAAGAACAAACCTCAACTTTACCTTGGTTGATCTTGTTCATTTTATATTTTATTTGTGGCTCTTTTTCACCATTTTCCCTTTTCTATTGCATCAGAAAAGCATTAACTCACAACCTTGCTCCATTCCGCTGACATAACTGCCTAAATATCCTTCCTGATGTTTTGACATATATCTCTTGGACAGACGCTTAGAAATTTAAACCACAGAAGCTGGAGGATATTTTAAAAAATTAGAAAATATGTGGACAACTCTTCTGTTATTTTAACAATATGAAGACTCAACACTTCTGTAACTGTGCCAGCAAATGCAGGAAAATATGTGCTTACGCTGCACAACCATAACACAGAGCACGCTGATTTTTAGAGATAAAATACACTTTTGTTGCGGGCTCTGAGCATAAATGCTATAACCCCCACCTTCACAAACATTTACAACACAGGTTATTTTCAGTGCGAAGCACCTGCTATTTCTGCAGACAACAAAAGCGTGTGTGCTTTCGGAATACACATACACTGAGCATGCAAATAAAACATCCGTCCATTCTGTGCAACAAAGATCTTGGTCTATCCAGTCGAGAACTGTGTCAGTTTACAATTCAGAATAAATTTGACATTAGCAAATGTACAATTGCTGTGAAAGGAAATAATACATCCGATGCACTCCAAAAACACCCTCAATTGTTCAGTCCAGAAGACAGGAAAATAGAACAGTCAAATGACGTGACACTTATGGGTTGTACGCACACAACGTGTATGCTGGAGAAAGCAGTGCCGTAAATACAGTGCTTACAAAACAATTATCCATACATTAACTGCATACTTAATGCACAGGGGCAGACCCTTAAGCATATGTTCACCTGCAGAAATACACATAAAAGCCCACTGCACATGAGCTCAAAGTGCACACTTCAGAAAACCAAACCACGCTGCACAAATCCACAGCTCGTGCACAAGAGGTTTATATGCACTCTGCAGAAAATTCATGCATCTTAAGTGTAGGTTTCATTTAATAACCCTAATGCACTGGTTTGCACTTTCCCTGTGGGGCACACCACAGTACCTAGAACAGTGGGTTTGAGGTCCCAATGGGCCCCACATAGGTTCAACACCTACAGTTCGTAAACCACTAATAGCATTTAATTCTCTCCCAAAGTGAGCACAAACACTGCTGGGTTTAATTCCCCAGAGCCAGCTACAGACCTCCAACTACCCAGGCTGCTGTGTCAGGACTGTCACAGGACTGTCACACCACTGCACCAGCCAAGAGACCCTTTGAAGGTTCGTCATTTCTCCCCTCAGTGGGGGAACCTGGGCTCAGAGTTTACAGCAGGGGGAAGTTACTGAGATGCCCCTGTGAAGGCTGCGATCACCACTGCCCTCCAGCCTTACTGCTGTGACTGCAGTGAAGGACACTGGTCACAAGTTCACTGCAGCTCCACTCACAGTGTAAGCAATGAAGCAATTGAAGGGAATAAAGGGGGACAAGATCTTGGATAACTGAACACTCAGCTGATGCGACAGGAACAAATGCATCTAATCAGATGTGGGCAATGCCACCAGCCAGGTGGGCACAACTCTATTATCAGTCAAAAGGATGAGGCAGAACACCCCCGGGCCCCAAAACGTGAAGAGACAGCCTTCCACTTCAGAAAGATTTGCAAACAATTTTGCTAGGAAGCACCTTATTCATGTGTCATCTCTGTTCCACAGGTTCCATCCAACACAGGCTGCACGTGAAATCCCAGTGATGCACTAGGGGCCAGATTTCTGGCCTGGACTCAGCTTCAGCTGCTTCAAGTGCCTGACCTATTTCAGCTAGAGACACTCAGAGAAATCCTGTGGCAGGTGATTCATTTACCTGTCGCATGCCATTTAAAGACTTAGAAACATTTAAACATTTAAAGGCTTAGAAACATGCAAGCACATCCAAAGCATGTTTCCTCCTGCCTCCAGAGATATCTACTGCTTTGCCAAGACGACTAGACTTGCTTACATACACAAAATGCCACCCACCTCTCTCCCTTGGTCCTTTGTCAGGGAAACGACATGGCTTAGCTCTGCTCTCCCAGAGATCACAGTCTCTTTAAGACCAGCTCTGTAAGCTGTATAAATGCCATAAACTTGCCGTGTACCTCATATGGAGAAAGATCTCTTCAGGCTGTCGTAACCTGGCCTAACAGTGGGGCAACAGGAGAGATGACACTCAGGTTCTGCTTCATCCTCTTGCAAGCATCTCTGACCAAGCCAAGGTTGTGAAAATCCAGAAAAATGGGGAGTAATGCCCAGGTGCCCCAGCTAGGAAAAAGAAAAAAAAAAAAAAAGAAAAAAAAGAAACAAATCAGGGGAGACTAATGTATACAAATAACAGATTCTTTGCTTTCCTCCTTGTAATTTCCCCACCCCAGACAGCTGTAATGTGGAAAGTATTGAAATTTAAATCACACCTCAGCCTAACTTCAGCTGACAGACTGCCGATGCAATAATCTCAGCCTGGCTATCTTCTCTCGGGGAGAACGACAAACCAGCTAAAGGAAAGTGATAAATTTTCAATTTTATTTTAAAATATACCAGATGGGAGATTTTATTGGAGTCATAAATATGTCAAAAGCAATGTTAGTGTATGATTGGAGATTGCCCCCACCTAGGGAGTAGCTTTCCCTGTTTAGAAATACCATCAGATTCTTAATAAGAGGCTCCAGTTAGACTGCAGCAAAATAGTCTGTATATTAAACCAATTGATTTTCTATTTGCCAAAGCTCTCCTTCTCTTCTCCTTCCTCCCTCCCCAGGTCCAAAATGCAGGAGAAATTAGGGTACTGAAGTCAGATCTAAATGTCACCAGTTTGGGTTCTTTCTTTTTCTTGTTGGAAGACGGTTCAAAAGCATTTGATTTCCTACCAGTATTTGAAAACAGAATTTTACTTCAGTCAACAAAGCTTCAGTGAGGGTTTGATTTCCTAGAATCCCAACCAGAAGATGACAACCAAGTTCAGCCTCAGATTTAAACTAAATCAAATTCAAGCCCTTAACCCAAGTCATGGGTCATCCTCAAACTCTGGAAATAGCACTTGGCCTCACTCCCAAAATTTCATGCTTGCTAAAAGCAGATCCAAATCCCACCAGCCATTTCCAGAAATAATATTTGCCTTTTGTAGCCTTTGCACCTCTCCTCCTCCTAACGCTGGTGCCACCACAGATCACAGTAGTCTGAAAGGAAGAAGCCTAATATTTATGAATTTGTATCATTTCAAAGGTTTTACAGACTTGCTCTACCAGCTATGTCTTTGGATATGTTTATAGCCTCCCAGTTTACTCCAGAAATCTTCATTCTAATACCAGTAAATTTGTATCAAATCATTGATTCCCCTCAGCACAGAATTTGACTCATTGAACCTTTAACACAGAAAAATACCAATAACTTTATAGTTCTTCATATGAACGCTTTGCATATTTAGTCACATAGCTACAAAACTGTACAAAAGAATTACAGAATTAATAAGAGGTCTAATACATAACATATTACGAGGTGGTATTTTGCAGTTGCAATCTAACATAGTCTTAGCCCAGCAGAGGGAAATGCAACTAAGAGGCAGAAGGAAAAGGTAACTTTGCATGTGTTAGTGGGCCATGGTCTTTTTAGACATTACTTGTCCCTCAGCCAGAGTACTAGATGCTGTTCCAGCAGTCTCTCTAACAGATGAATCATTTTCTATAACAGGCTTTTATTTATTTTTTATTTTTTTACTTGAACATAAAATACCATCAGAAACATTTATCAGAAAACATCCTCTTCCTACCCATACCCTCCAGTCCTGGACATGTCATTCATTGGGCATGAAGCAGCAGATGCATCAAGACAAATCGAAGCTTTTAACAGCTTTTTAATCTGAAGGTGCAGATTGAAATGGAAGAATCATACCCATCAGTCTTGGGCTTAAAATATTTTGACTTTATGTGCTACACAGTGAGGCTGGCATTCCTCTGGCTTCTACAGTGTTTTCAGTGGGGACTCATACGATTCATCATTGACTGGCTCAAGGTCAAGGGAATCTGGTGAAGTACAAAAAGCTGGGAAAGAATTCACCTTGCAGTAAAATGCATTTGATAAAAAAGAAACCAATGCTGCAGATATGAAAGGATGGCCTGGCTCTAATCTTCCACCCTCAGGAGGACTCGCTGAAAAAGCAGAGGCAGCCAATTCCAAGCACACTTCAAAGCACTGCTTCCTAGATGCTGTCCAACAAGCCTCAGAACTGGCAACGCTCAAAGAATAAGGACACAGGTGGACTCAGGATCACTGCTGTCTTCATGGGTTAAAGGATCTGCTAGGCCATTTCCACTATGGAACCCACAGAACTATTTTGAGCACCCTATTTTTGTTGTTGTTGCAGTTCTTTTTTTGTGGAAACAGTGAATTTAAGTGGGAAATGTCTTGCCTTTACCAAAAACTCTTTTACTATATGTATTTTTACTCCATGCAACACTTAAAACCATATATCAAGAAGGGCTACAATACTGACAATGCCTGACACTTGTCTTACATTCAGTGTCTGAGAACTGTGCAGACTGTTCAGGAGCTAGCTGGAAAAAGACCATGGGAGAAGACCAGGGCGAAGATCAACCTCCTGCTCTTTCCCTGGACTGTGCACCTCAAGCTATAAGGCCTCATTTGAATGGGGAGACTACAAAAATCCAGGTGTGAGTATCACTGCTGAACTAAAACAGGCAGGTGACAAGAGAGAACCTCTGGAAGGGATCAGAGGGAACTTATGGTAGATTTGCTGGGAGGAAAGTAAATCAAGTGGCTGAGAGATAGGCAGCAGGAGACTCACCAGAAACTGGCACCAATGAAGCTGGTGCTACTTTGAGATCTGATGCTGCCTTCTGCTGGCACAAAAACATCTCCTTAGCTGAAGGGATGGCTTCTCTAATAAAATAAATAAAATAAAAGTAGAACAACAACAAAAACTAAGATTATGGCTGGCTCAGACCTGGTAGATAAATTACAACTGCCATCCAACAAAGCCCTGGAGAGCCAAGAGATGCCCCAGTAAGGCAGAATCACTCTTGCATTAGACTAAGAAAATCATAGAATCAATAAGGCTGGAGAAGACCTCCAAGATCATCTGGTCCAAGTTGTCAGAGTAAGGCAACAGAGCCCCACAATTAAAAAACAAAACAAAATAAAAAACAACACAGCAGCAGTCAGGTGCTCTATGCTGGTAGCACCATGGTGGTTTCCTCTCTGGGCATACGGAGTCTGCTGATCCCTTACTAGCAGAGCTTTTCAACCTCAGTGACGTTACGTGAAATAATTCATATAATGGGCTGTTGTACATCAGTACAATAAAGCTGTAATCTTTCCAGGACAGAGATTGCAGCTTAGTAAATGTCTGTGCAATACCTGGCACAATGGAGCTCCAGTTCTAATAGCAGCCTTTAAACATTACTGCACTACAACAGTAACAATGGGTGGTGATAACTCAGATAATGAAAATAATGTATGCATCAGGAATATCTGTGGCATAATTACACAGCTTATTCAAAGCACCTAATCAAATTGTTCAGCAACTCAACATCAACACAGACGTAAGGACAGATACCCCTAGACTAAGCAGAAAATTATGATTAGCATAGGTATAATTGCCTTGGAAACTTCCAATGCTTTCAGTCAGGCCAAAGACCAGGTAGTAACATGTTCAGGCACGAACATATTTTTCCTTACGAAAGATAAGCCCCAAACAGGTGATTAAGAACAGACTGAAAACACAGGAACTGTGAGTACTGCATCCTTTGATCCCAGGAGAAATTGACCTCAGGCAGCTTGGTAAGATTCAGACTTACTCGGGAGATGTCTTTAGGGCATTCTCCAGTTAATAGGCTACACTACTTAATTATTTGAACAAATCTTACTATTTAAAAAATCACTTAACAAAGAAGTGAACTCATTTACCTATTGACTACTTAAACCACCTGGCAAACATGTAACACCCAGGCAATTAAGAGTGCTACTGCTCCAGGGTCCTCGCTATCTTAGTCTCAATCCCTCCAGCACTGTGTAAATCTGCTGTCCCTCTGGAATGCTGTCCCATTGCAGCATTGCTGCACATGCTAACTGCAAAGGATGCAGAAAGCTGTGCTCCTGTTTGGTAGGTGTAAGGCATCAGCCCAAGAGAAGACCGTGCTATAGTATCAGGAACACGTAATGCCGCCATCCACACCACAACAGCAGCATCCCATTCAGGACCTCCTTTGCAGCACAGCACTGAATACCCGTGGTGCTGTCAGATGTTGTGCATGCTCGTTTACACCCTTGCTATGTGTAGGTATCTTCAGGAAAGTCCAAGCATCAATTGATGTGCAGAAAGGGAGGCCTGGACACAGACATCCATCCTCTTTCAGGAATCAGCAGCACCAGCAAAACCCACAGGGACAGAGAAACAGCAAAAGGTCGTCTGCAGCCAGCTCTGTTCCTATAATTCTGCTGGGACTCCTCCCTTTTTATTTCTTAGGTCCTCACTTCCTTTCCTAGGACCAGCCCAGGACCTGGACACATGAACAGACACAGGCTCCCCTCTGATGTAGCAACTACCTTATAAATTATACAGCAAATTAAAAATTCTTTATCACAGTGATAACACCATCATCTGCAGTGTTTATGGGTTAATAAATTGTGTCCCTGAATGAACGTGCTGACTCATTAACTAAGCTGCAAGTGAGAGCCATTCATCTCTTCTGCAATACCATGAAATCCAGTGTCCCTCCTCTGCCAGAGAATTCATTTTCATTTTCCTGCTTCAGAGAGGGGAGCTGAAGAGGAGGAGGAGAAGGAAGGAATTATTTCCTCTTGCTTGCTTCCTGCATTAGTGAAGCCCTGGAGGTTATTTAAATGGTAACTTCAAAGGAGGTATATGATCGCTCTGTTTACTGCTGTAGGAGTCTCATTTTACACTCAGATTTAAAAAGCTTCCCTGACAGACAGGCAAACAGCATCACTTACAGGTTTGG